GTTTGTCAAAACGTCTGGAAAAGAATAAAATCCAAGTAATGTTTGTATGTTGTTTAACGTCCTGGTCCCGCGCTCGAGAATTTTTCATTCATGGAGGCACCACCACCTGCCGGTGTAGAGCTGCAATTTTGTCCTATACTGGGCTCTTAGGTAATTAAAACACAATGATTCATAAAAATTGATACAAACTTAAATGTAATAAGCAAGTTATGGAAAATTTTGAACCTTTTAAGTGGAATTAGTAATTTAACCCTTTCGCGACGAAACAGAATAAACTGATAACTGAATTCGCCAATATAATGAATAAGTTCTTTATAAATAAAAAAGAAATATTCTGTTCACATTTAAAAAAATTGCACGTCTTGGTTTACCTGTTGTAGGCGCAGAATAAAATTCTGTCATGGTTTCTCGCCACTTCGTAACACTCTTTTGAATCTAAAACTGTTAAAGTTAACGGCTTCTCGCACATCACATGCTTTCCTGTAATATTTAACAAAGTGTGTTTTTGAAATAATGATGCCCCCATATGGCGGTGAAGGTTAAACTTCTTAAATGCACGTAACCCAAGTTCAAAAGATCAAAAATGGTGTTACCCTTGTGTCACTGCCATTGAAAATATCTGGAAAATATACGGAAGACCAAGCACCAACCATTCAAAAGTTATGGTCAAGGTTTATACTTTTTAAAAGTGTCGTCAAGGTCATGCAGATGGTCAAAATCAATTATAAACAAGGGAAGTCCTTGTCATTTTTTTTTTCTAAAAATTATTGGCAAGGTAAATCTTTTTTGAAAGTGCGTCAATTCTATGGTCAAGGTCAAATCTATTTACACCCTTGGAAAGGTTTTGTTATGATAAATATCGGTATAAGTTATGGTCAAGGTTTAAAGGCCGGTATACACGGTAAGATTTGTATTGTAAGATTTGTATTATAATACAAAATCTTATTGTGTATACACCCTTAATACAGTGTATCATAAGATTTTTCGAAACTTATAAAACTGTATTAAGAATAGAGCAATGCTTTATTTCCTAATACAAGTCTTAACTCACCTTTCACTTTCAACCAATCAAATGTACTCACATTGGGGGTCATCCTATTTATATCATTACTAAATAAAGCACATGGTAAATAATAATGGCCGACTTTGCGAGTAAAGATATCGAAAAACTCGTGGTTTTATGGGAAGGGGAAGAGGACTTGTGGAATATATCAGGCTGTAGCTACCACAAAAAAGATGCTAGAAGCAGAGCTTATTATTATCATTTTTATTATTTTGACAGAGAGAGAAATATGGCAGGAGAAAACACGTGGGAATAATAGTTTATTTACAATCTTATAAGATATGTATTAGCGTGTGTACAAAAAAGTATTATAATACAAAAGTATTACAATACTTGTATTATACTACAAATCTCATCGTGTCTACCGGCCTTAAGTTAGGTATTTATTTTCACAAGTGGGCCAAAGTTCAAGGTCAAGAGGTCAATTTAGTTGGTAAAGGAGTTACATTAAGAATTACAGTATGAAATTCTATGCTTCAACTAATCAAAAGTTATGGTCATCTTTAAAGTTTCCGTGGCATATGTAGCTCTGTATGAATGTACATCTTACCTGCAGATAAGGCCTTTTTTATGATATCGGAGTGAAATGGCGTTGGGGTACAAATTATAACGACATCAACCCTGTTAATGTGAACAAATTATAGTAAAAGTAAACAAGAAACATCGGAATGCTATTTTTCTGTCTAAAGAATGAAATGTTTGTCTGAATATATTAAATCTAATATATATATAGTTCATCGGCTTGTTCTTGATGGAAACTTGCAAAAGGCCCATGGGCCTTGAAGGTCACCCGTGTGTCTAAATCACTTACAATTACAAGAGCCATTGGATTTATGAGGAAGATACACTATAAAATGTATCTTCTTTGATCATTGACATATTCTTTCAGCATTTCTTTTATCATTTTTTGTTAAGTGTCTTAATTATTAAGAAACCCAGGCTATATAATGTTACCACAACGAATTTCATACTATATCTTTCGAGACCTGAATGAATCAAACTTGTATACGATTAAAAAATACAATTTTTTTTAATCCTGTGGTAAGACATTTTTAAATCGTTGATCTGATTTAACCCAGAATTAACAATGATACCATTTAAATAAGAAGTAATAAATTATGAGGCTAGTGTGCCTTTAACACCTGTTCAACCTCAAAAACGTTGACCTGTCCAAAAGTGCAAAAATGGCCCGATACAAATGCATTACCTGGGGTCTTCGAACACCTTTTGACTGGCCTTGATGTCGATCACCTGAGCCTCCCCCTGTAACCCATGTTTCTCCTATCAGTTCAGTCATCACTCCATGCTGTGCTGGTACGTCCACTAACCATCTGATGGTCAGTCTCCCACTGTCCACCATGTTCTTTAGGTGGACCTGTCCGATCCTCCCCACTCCAAATAGAGCAGCACCGAGTCTCCGGCTTCCCTCCATCTGGAATTTATAGTTTAGTGTAGAGAATAACGGAAAGTGTCGGGTAAAGTAACAAGTATCCCCTTAGTTATAATGAGAACTATCTCGTACGAATCAAGTTAAATCGTAAATGGAAAGAAAAATCTCGCTATTACGAGAAAAGAAATAAAGGGAATAGACTTTGCCTTTGCTAGAATCATCTCGTAATTTCGAGAAAGATAATGTAATGATGAGTGAAGACCCCATAAATACAAAATAAAACAATTCTTGAACGCTTATGACAAGAGAGCTTAAATATAAAATAAGATCTCGTTATATTGTCAAGAAAATTAAAGAAACAAACAGAATTTACACAAAGAAATCACTCAAATTTTGTTTATCATTACAAGTTTATACTATAATGTGCATTAATTAAAGACCTACCTTGGTCATGCATTGTAACTTTTAAATAGTTGGCAAGGGGTTTCGCCTTTCACAGACCTGTATATTTTTTGTGAGAAGAATTTCCTTTAGATACTTTAATAGACAATTTTGACGTTGGAGATTGACCTACTTAAAAAACTTAAACTTCTACATAACCTTTGAACAGTTGGTGCTAGGGCTTCTATATTTTGCATGTGTATTTCTTATGACAAGGTCTTCTCCTGTGTACCATTAATTTTGACCTTTTGACCTTGGAGTTTGACTCAATTTTAGAAAACAGTAACCTTGATCATAACTTTTGAATGGTTGGTGCTTGGACTGTCATATTATTTACCCTGGGTGTATTCAATGACACAAGTCCTTACTTTGGGTAACATTTTTGTTCTTCTGGCCCTGGAATTTTACTGGCGCATTTAAGAAACTTTAAACTTCGCAATGAGCTACCTGCATATGGGTCATCAGTGTTTTAAAAACACATCTTGTATTCTTTTCAATTTTAATAGTTTTACTTAAAGGTTGTACCCACTACAAAATGATGAGCTGCAATAACAGTGTTATGAGTTGATTAGTAGATACTATGTAATGCATTGTTGTTGTTTTTTTATACAAAACAATAAAACATTTTTTCAGAGTTTACAACAATTATATACCTTGTAATCAGGACTGATCATCCAAGAACATATCCGTCCAGCTTACAAATATATACACATATTAAAGAGACATGCATTGTAATGTGAATATCCGGTACAAGATTATGTAAGCGGAATAAACACGTTTAAACACGCATTCTCAGTTTATAGTTCCAAATCGACTTTGGGAAAAGTCAAAACATTTTGTGAACTGAAACTAAAATTTTTATATGTCATTTGAAAACATGAAAGTGTATAGTTATTAAAAATTACAATTTGATTTACATACTTCATGCTGTGTTTTGTCTCGACCTCCTTCGAAAATGAATGTGGTTGGAGGGCTAATTTTACACCAAGATATTTACGTGATGTTGAAAAGCCATATTTGGAAACGAAACAATTTTTTTGAAAAATACAAAATTAAGATAATACACATCGAATTTTGTTAACTATAAACATTTATGAAACTGGTTCAAGCACATTTGTAAAAGGGCATGGAGATTTTTGATTCAATTATTAGTAAAAACAAAACAGGCATAATTTTTGATTTAAATGAAATTATTTTCTTTTTATTACAAAAGGTTTTTACTCTTCAAATATCTGACGATAAGCTAAATAATGACAATATTACCTAAAATGCTTCATTATTTGATTCTTTATTAATCTATTTTGAGAAAACGCACATTATTTAAATATCAGAAGGTAAAATATTTCGCCATTACCTGATTACGAAGTGTTTGCTAAATATCACGTAAATATCGCGCCTGTTTACTCCGCAACAAAATGTAGTGCGTTGCATACGTAAAGTGAAAATAGAAATAAATCGTAATACTGTGAAGCCTTTTCAGTGTAAAAAAAACAACAGAAAATTTATTTTTGTAAAGGAATAACCATCTGATAGGTATTAGAAAACAAAGAGGGGGAGGGGGGTTGCTGAGCAACATTACCTGCAATATTATAAGATATGTGATATATTATAAGATTTAACATTTGTGGATTATGTTGGGTGACCTGTGGTCTCCCCTATGATTTTATTATTCCATGTAAGGTTATAGTATCTATAAAACACAGTGCCTAACCTCTGATCTCCTTACTAATAGTAAGCGACTCAGAGTAAACGACGTCCAGTCTCTGCATTCGCAGATCTCTAACAAGCAGGGGAGACGAAGATTTTGCCCCTTCCACCCCATTCCTTTTCATTTCGCTGAACTTTTCACCAATCCTGTAACATAATGGAATAATTATTTGTTAATAAATTATTTAATACCTCCTTTGTCTTCCTTATGAGGTCATGCTTCAATAGGCAACCTCATCAGTAGGGGGAACAGAGCACACCTTATATTGCACTTTACATTAGAAGGGGGAGCAAAAGTTATCTTATATTCTAATTCAGTAGGGGGAGCAGTGGTCATCTTATTTGTACATCAGTAGGGGGGACCAGAGGTCACCTTATATTGTACATCAGTAGGGGGACCAGAGGTAACCTTATATTGTACATAAGTAGGGGGACCAGAGGACACTTTATATTGTACAACAGTAGGGGGACCAAGTGTCACCTTATATTGTACATCAGTAGGGGGAACAGAGGACACCTTATATTGTACATCAGTAGGGGACATCAGTAGGGGGACCTGAGGTCACCTTAAATTGAACATCGATAAGGAGACCAGGGGTCACCTTATATTGTACATCAGTAGGGGGACCAGAGGTCACCTTATATTGTACATCAGTTGGGAGACCAGAGGACCCCTTATATACTACATCGGTAGGGGGACCAGGGGTCACCTTATATTGTACATCAGTAGGGGGACCAGAGGTCACCTTATATTGTACATCAGTAGGGGGACCTGAGGACACCTTATATTGTACATCAGTAGGGGGACCAGGGGTCACCTTATATTATATTGTACATCAGTAGGGGGACTAGATGACACCATATTTTTTAAATCAGTAAGAGGACCAGGGGTAACGTTATTTTGTACATCAATAGGGTGACCAGAGGTAACCTTATATTGTGCATCAGTTGGGGGACCAGAGGACACCTTATATTGTATATCAGTAGGGGGACCAGAGGACACCTTATATTGTACATCAGTAGGGGGACCAGAGGTAACCTTATATCGTACAGCAGTAGGGGACATCAGTGGGGACCAGAGGACACCTTATATTGTACATTAGTAGGGGGACCAGCAGGTAACCTTATATTTGTACATTGGTCTGGGGAGCAGAGGACACCTTATATTATACATCAGGAAGGGGACCAGGGGTCACTCAGCAAACTGTACATCAGTTGGGGGACCGGAGTTCACCTTGTATTGTACGTCAGTAAGGGAATGAGAGGTCATCTTATACTGTACATCAACAGTGGGACTAGAGGACACCTTATATCGTCACATTGGTAGGGAGACCAAGGGTCACCTTATATTGTACATCAGTAGGGGGACCAGAGGACACCTTATATTGTACATTAGTAGGGGGACCAGAGGACACCTTATTTTTGTACATTAGTAGGGTGACCAGAGGTCACCTTATATTTTATATCAGTAGGGGGACAGAGCCATCAGGTTAGTTTTAACGTTCGTCACTAAATGTTTTTGGAATAAGATTGGTCCTCTCTTTTACGATGTAATATTAACTATATTTGAAAAAGACGAATTACCATATTCTCAGCGATTGGCACTCTTTCACTCTTTTATTTAAAAAGGGCGACAAGATAATCTTAAAAACTATAGACCATTGAGTTTAACAAATACCGATTACAAGATTATAGCTTTTGTTCTAGCCAAAAAATTACAAAGCGTCATAGATAAATTAATTAGTAATGAACAATCAGCATATATCAAAGGTCGTTACATAGGTATTAATGCAAGATTGATTTTAGACATTTATGAATATTGCATGGATAATGAAAAAGACGGAATATTACTATTTTTAGATTTTGAAAAAGCTTTTGATTCAGTCGAGTGGAATTTTCTTTTTCAAGTTCTAAAAAAATTTAACTTCGGTGATAATTTTCTTCAATGGATCCAAATTCTATATAATAAACCAATATTCAGAATTAAAAATAATGGTTGGATTTCTAAAACATGTAGCATGAATAGAGGTATCAGACAAGGATGTCCTATTTCAGCTCTATTGTATCTATTTGTGGCAGAAATACTGGCCTTAAAAATTAAAAATAACAATGAAATACAGGGTATTAATGTTTTAAACATGAAAAGGGATATTAAAAATATTCAGCATGCAGACGATATCACACTGGCTTTAAAAGATATATCTTCTTTGAATGTTGCAGTTAAGACTGTTAATGATTTTTGTAAACACGCTGGTTCAAAGGTCAATATAAGCAAAACACAATGTATATTATTGGGCAGTCTAAAAGATAAATACACTAACATAGACGGCATACATGTAACAAATGATGCTGTTCGATGTTTAGGTATACACATTGGCCATAATAAAATTCAATGTTATGAATTGAACTGGCTAAAGACTTTTCAAAACATGGAAAAACTCTTTGAATCGTGGAAAAAAAGAAAATTGACTATTTTTGGGAAATCATGTGTCGTTAACTCTTTAGCTACGTCAAAACTTATATACATGGGTTCAATATTACCAATGCCCGATCCCGAACATATTCGACAAATTAAGAGAAGCATATTTAACTTCATATGGAATAAGCGCGATAGAATTAAAAGAGATACTGTGATCGGAAAACAAGAAGATGGAGGCATAGGTGTGATAGATATTGAATTGAAATTCAAGGCCTTAAAGGCGGCATGGGCTAGATACTTGATAGATAAAAAGTGTATAATAGGCGAAATAATAAGAGGATATTTGAATAGTCTTAATATTGATATCAACTATCTATTATCATTATCGGAGACAAAATCCCCAGACTTTAAAATCATTTCAAACATGTCGGTTTTTTATAAAGAAGTATTTTGCAGTTTTAATGATTGTAAAAGATACATCGATGAAACTAAATTGTCTAATGTAAGTTTTGCTCAGCAACCAATATGGAATAATAATATGTTTAAATATGAAAACAAAACAATATGTTTTAAAAATTGGATCAAAAGTGGGATAACACATGTTAAAGACCTTTTTAATAAAAATGGAAAATTTAAAACTCTACAAGAATTGTCCGATGATTTAAAACAAAAATCAAATTGGATGTGTGAATACAAAATATTAAAAACAGCGATGTATAAAAAATCTTTAAGATTCAATATGACTTGCTGTGCATACATACAGAATATAGGGGAGCGTTATTTTGATTTTGTAAATGGTGTATATTGTATTGAAGATAAAAAATGTAATTTTTTTTACGATAATTTACTCTGTAAGAAATTTAAAGCCCCAAGCCATCAATTAATGTATAAAAAATTATTTTCTGTTGCTCAAGAGAGTTGGAAGGATATATATAGAAATAAGGTTAAAGACATCTATGACAAAAGAATATGTGAATTTAACTATAAATTGTTGAATAATATATTGTGTTGTAACAGTTTTCTTTTTAAATGCAAATATAGAACTTCTGCTTTATGTAATATGTGTGATGAAATTGAAGATATTAAACATTTACTTTTTGATTGTGATCATGTTCATATACTATGGAAAAATCTGAGTTCTGTGTTAAATTTTGATGTACAGTGGAAACATGTCGTCCTAGGTTTTTATTTTGAACGGAATTCCAAAATACAATTTTTAAATACTTTTGTTTCTTTTTTAGCATACAAGATATATAAATTTAAAATGTTTTGTAGAGTTCAGAACAAAACTGAAACAGAAGATTTGTTATATTCCTATGTAAAAACAAATATTATAAACAGTATGAACATTTTACTGAATTCAACAAAAACTCACATGTATAAAAATAAGATGGTGACATTTGTAGAAATGCTTTAACTAAATATATGTTACTCTGTTATTTTTGTTATACTAACTATCCTGGCCCGGGTTAGTTAGGAATTGTAAACGGGTTTGCATAATGATTAATAAAATTATTAAAATTAAAAAAAAAAAAAAAAAAAATAAAATAAAAATAAAAAAAAACGTTCGTCACTAGGTGGTCCAGAGGTTAACTAATATTGTACATCAATAGGTTGATCA